ATCGTTTAGTTAAAAAGTTATAAATGTCACGATGTAAAGTATGATTTTGGATTGAACGTTTTTAATGTCCGAACGTATTACAGTATTTGAGCACACGAATTTTCCAGATGGTTTTTCTTATTTTGTATAACCGTCATGTGCGCAGTAATTGGTGCCTGCACAGTAGTTGGATCATTTACACCTATCTTGAAGAATGCCTAATTTGACCATATCATTCTCAATACTTTTAAATGTATATTATTAGTTAACGTACAATAACTTAAGTTTCTATGTATTCATCGTAAGTTTACTAGTACCTGAGTCGAAGAAAGTTTACAGGATTATGGTGTTACGTTGGCGCAATGCATAGGGCTTGGAGCTAAGCTTTCACTCGTTGCTCGAGATTCCTTTTCGTTAATCTCTCCTGTTAAGTAGTCAGATAGATAAAGATTAGCCGTGATGCGAGGTAGTAAGGTACATCGGGGAGGTGCAACCCCAGTCAGCCACTCTCGTGAGACGGTGCAAAAGTACACGTGAGCAGATCAACTCGCTTACTCCTTTGCACAAAGACAAGCAGCCCGAGGGATTCAGAAAAGCTACTCGTATAGATGGGTGCGTAGTAGGAAATTAAAAAAGATTTACGTTTTCTTTAACTTACTGTTACATTGATTGCCAATTATTAAAGGCAACCCGAATCAACTGATAAATTGTATGAGAGACAGAGGACCTTGACTGAGGGGTTCAAAGATGACCATGGAAGAGCGCAACCAATTAAGAGCAGCAGTATAAGGAACTTGACCAAAATGACTCAAGCAAAGGACCTCCACCAAAAGAAAGTCGAGGATGGTGTGATTGATTGATTGAGACTGGCTAGTGTAAGATACTTCGAGCTTTATATACAGTTTAACATAGGTCCAGTCAGGGGCGCCGTTCTTGTGTACACGTAAAGTTGGGGTATTGGTTAGAGGTCCCGCGTGCAAACTGGAAAATCGATCATCGAATGAGAAACTGTGTTTCTTAGAACCCGCCCTTGCATAATTCGGGGCTGCCACTCAGGTTCGAGTGCGTGATAGTTTAAAAATTTTAGAAAATACTCTTCCCAGCCCAACATACTAGAGAAAGAGGAGACAATATCCTATTTTTCCTTCTGTCTCTCCCTACATCTGGTATTCCTTACGACTAACGTTATTGCTACAACAGTGCTAGTTATTACTAAAAAAGCAAGCACACTAAATTAATAATAATGAAAACAAATGGTGGTGAATTAACTGGTAATGATGATAATAACGGTAGTAATTCAAATAATACAAATAGTGGTAATAATAATGGTTCTAGCAGTAGTGGTGATAATAAAAACAATAATAATAATAGAAAATATAGTAATTAATAGGTTTAGTAGTGGTAGTACTTATAATAACTAAAATAATAGCAAATATAATAATCATGGTAATAATAATGGTAAAAGTTCCAGTACTGATGGTAGTTATAACGACAAAAATCATAACAAATATAATAATCATAGTTATAATAACAATAGTTCCAGGAGTGATGGTAGTTAGTGAAAAAACATTGGTAATAGTAATTGTATAAGTGACAAAAATAATAATAGTAATAATAATGATGATAATAATAATAAAAATAAACGTAATAGTAATAGTAACAACATTAGTATTGATGATAGTAATTTCTTGAGCCTTTTTCATTAACCTAAGTATAAATGTTATTAGTAATTATTCTTATGTTGTTTATTTATGTTTATGAATAATTATGTTTTTAATGTACTGTTAATATTATTAAGAGTATAATTAATTAAATGTTATTTATTGATATTTGTAAATAATCATGTCTTCAACGTACTGTTAATATTATTAAGAGTGGGAGGAAAAGGGGAAAGAGAGGCTGTTTAGTTGTACACGGTGGTAGTGGCGTGCGGGAGTAAGGAGGGCACCAATGGCCGATGAGGTGTGTGGCTTCGTTTTTATTTGACTAAAAACAACATGTAGTGTTTGTCATGCCTTGGAATTTTTCCATAAGTTGGCGTGTTTGCAGCGTCCAGGTTCTCACGGAAATTTTTATCTAGAGCAATTAAGGTGCTCTGCATGTGGGTGTGATTTCTTTAAAAAGTTTCTTCTTGAAGGCGATAAGAAAATGCCAAATGCCTTTCTCTTTTGGTGCTTTTTGTGCGGATAGATAGAAGTAGTAGAGAGCAATTACGGTGTTAAAGAGTAAGTGTGACAGGCAATTAAAAAATTTTAAACATTCGGCTGCGAACGTTACAATAGGTTTTAATTCCATCACAAAATATCAAAAATTTTTTTTCAAGATTTTCAGATATAGTACTATGTTCTTAACCATCTAAAAATTACTTACTTCAGGTTTGAAATGAATAGTCGATTTTTCTTAATGATATTTCAAGCTTTCACTGCTTTTACGGTAAGCCAACACCTGGTCACATTGTCAGTAAAATCACTATCCGTCATAAAAGTGGAGCAGTATAGGAAGATAAATGTTTGATGAGAGAAATCCTTCAGTTACAACTGCTAATCGCCACAGTGTGCTGTGTTTGAGACAATCACTATACCAAATGAATCGTACTTAGTATGATGAATGACTGAGTCATTTAATGGGAACCTTGAAGTAGGGACTTACATAAGATACTCGTATACTTTACGAAAGAGAAGAAAAATTTCTGAAAAGATAGCTGAGGTTACGATGTTACTGTATTCTCGTAAGCGTTGGCAAGTTTTATCAGCCGCTACTAAACAAAAAAAAGCTATGTACTTGCCTATTAATATATAATTTCTGGTACTGCTGACAGTGAGCTTATGAGAGCAGGTCATCCTTACAGCAAATCGTAATGTGGCTGAGTATAAAAAAAGAAAGTGGGAGACCTTACTAAGGTGGGTTAACTATAAGCGGTTCTGCTTAGCGCTGTGACTAAAGAGCAAACAGACGTGGACCGGTATCTCGTTGCCACGTACTAGTCCGAAATATCCACGCGTGTACGCATGCATATACTCACACCTTACACGTATAGCCGTACTCTTTTTCAATCACACAGTGGTTAGCTAACCACCTTACAACACTGGGCTTATAAATGCTATTCGAAAGTTTCTCTCTAATATTTAACAGTTATTTGAAGTACAAGTCCATAAGAAGGATGAATATTAGTAACCTTGGTTTTTTTTGTCCGAGACAATTCTGCAATGAGTTTACGTAAAATCTTATTCAATACTTACAATTATTTTTCGTAGATGATATATCGATCGTCATTCTATTCATACTTCAGTTACTAAAAAAATCTAGTTTAATTAAAAATAACTTTTTTGTTAATCAAACAATGAAGAGCATTAAAAGTTGTTTCAACTTTAAAAACAAGATGAGCTACATAACATTACTTTGAGCATCTTATTTCTGTAAAATTTTGGGTTCATTAATTATGACCTACTTCTGATTAAACTTATTATAAAATCTAAGGAATTATCAGCTTATTATTAAAAAAGGTTTACAAGATCAATCAGGGACATTGTCATCAATTTTTTTAAAATATGTTCAAGTTATAATAAAACCTTTGCTCAAATAAATATTCTTTAATTTTCTTATTCAGTCATTAGGGATCAAAGAAATTTATAAAGGATCTATGGCACAAGAGAAAAGTTGTAATAATCTTACAAAATACATACACAGTGGTTACGAGCAATTTATTGAGGTTGACCAGCAAATTTTTAAAATAAAGATATAAAATTATAATACATTAACCTTCTAGATGTTAGAAAATCTTAAAAGTCTGATGCAACCGTAGACATGAAGAGATGTAAATAAACTTATTCATTTCAAGTTTTGTTGCATAAAAATTCATTAAAAAGCTAGAGCTATAATCTAAGCAGTTTCATTTGCTTTTTACTCTCAATACGTTAAATCCGCATCCTAAAATAAGACACAAATTTAATGATTGCTTCTCATTTATTGCATACATTAAATAAAAGTTTATATTAAGTGTAATAGAATTAGCTAATAATCATATCAATGTACCAAAAATTCGGACTAGCTCGAAAAAAAAGGGTAATAGCTTTACTGCATGGTGAAAAATTGACACGAAATCCAACAGGTAGAAATGTCACCAATTTTCAGCTTAATAGATCTTAAACTTTTCGTGAACTGCAGCAAAAGTCGAAAAAAGAACCTCTGTAAAAATGGCTATAAAAAAGTTGTTAGCCAACATAGGTACAATTTTCAAACGTATTTCTTGTCGTCTATATTAACTCTATAAGTGTATAAAAAGCCGATAGTTCTTGCTGATTAGAAGTGTCTTAAACATCAATTGTAAAAAATTGCTTTTTGCTTCATGGTCAGGGGAATTGGTGGCGGCTGAAGGCCACGCCAATTTTCCGCATGCATGCTCTAGGGGATTTGAGAGAGCAGGTTCAAAACGAAAAGGTGTTTTTTTTGCAATCGATTTTTAAGATATTTCTAATCGGCAAAAACAAATTGCTTTGAAGACACTTGCAGAGTAAATATAAACGAAGAGAAATATGTACGATTCTTTAGTCTTCTTCTAGATGCAAGAAACATGTTTTGGCAACCTTTATCATTTTTTGGGGGGCTTTTCCTAACATTTATACTCGTTAAATTTTGTGTAAAAATGTATGTACCATACATTGAAACTACTACCCTATTTTTTCGAGCTTATCAGACTTTTTGAATTCGAAAAATCAATTCAATCACAGTAATTGCTTATTGCTGCATTCGTGCTTTCCAAATATTACATTATAGTAATATTAGGCTTATTTTATATACAAAAAAATTAATACACTATCATTTTTATTGCTTATTTAAATTTTGAAGGTACTTTGAAAAGTTTTTGAAACAAACAGTCTTCAGAAAAAACTACGTTTAAATCTTAGAACTTACAGAAATGCGTATTTTCGCTTTTTTAATAAAACTTCTTGATATTTTTGTTAATTTGACATTTAGTATGTTAAGTAACCAATATTTAACAATATTATAATTGATACTTTCAGCAAGAGCTAATAGTTAAAAAATCTTCGTCAATAGAAATTAGATTGACTAATCATCCAGTACGAGCTGTCGTCGTTGAGCTAGTGACGAGTATCGTAATAGATTCACTATCTTTACTAGCTCCCACAAAGTCTCCACCAGTTATTGATTTGGTTTTAGATGCATGGCCTGAACACGCCAGCTTATGTCAGCAAATTGAGTATCAAACTGAAGTTCTATCAATTTTAATGAAACACCTATTACCAGCAGACATTCTTATTGGAAAACAAGCAGCCTTATCGGTCGTGGACGGTGGATGTGCTGATAATATTTCTTATAATGTTTGTTATATTACATCTAGAATAGTTGATAAACTATGGCAAGGTAAGGATCTCAGTTTTTTTTATTATAAGTTTTTTATTTGTGTATGCATACGCACGAGTTATATGGAACATTGTAAGTCAATAGAACGGTTTAATTAAGTTTTTGGTCAAATTTTTCACGATTCAATACTAATTAATAAGAGCAATAACTACTTATTAATTTTCCTATAATCATGTGACAAGTCTTAGTGGTAGTGGCAAAATTAAGCTTAGCTACATATTAATTTATCCCTAATACCAAATTAAGTTAATAATGAAAAATGTTGAATCAAACATTTCATTCAATAGATTACTATCTGTAAATTTTTGCGAAATTGATGAACATTGCAAATTGAAGAAAATGCACTTATTTTTTTATAAATCGAAGTTAAGTATTATCCCACAAAGTTTTAATAGGGCCAATAACGAAAAAAATTATTAATTTTTTAAAATACATTAACTAAGGCAGAGATGAGTAGAGATATTGCTAACGTCAATACTACGAGGTGAGGCAACTTTTTGGCACTGACCAGGGTGACCCGCCGTGGCTGGCCTTCGAACAAAGGTGCACATTTTTCGAGAGTGCGAGCCTCGTGTCGAACAGCGTGATCCTACGAGGAGAGGATTCACGTGAAAATGAGTATATAGGCGCACATTTTGGAAACATGTGTACGGGGTATACCAAATGTGTGCCTACGAGGAGAGGAGCGGAAATGTCGACTATATAGCTATATAGCTGAGCGCACAGCCAAAGCAAGTGACGACAGGAGTTTTTCTCTTTTGACTGCAACTGATTATATGATTTACATATTTAACTGATTCTTGCTCTTTCGCTCTTGCTTCAATGTTATTAATCAATCTGATTGAATTAAATCGCTGAACCAAATGCTCGTTAATTATATTCATAGACTTTTGATTTTAATACAATATTTTTTAATCCTCCAGTACTTTTAACAATCGCAAATCCATACATTTTATTAAAAAATATACAGCTTCAACTATTTTTTACAGTTTTCAGTACAGCTTGAACTACTAATTTATTATTTTAACACATCCTAACTGCTGTGAATTGTAGGACAAGCTTTGAAGGGTATCCATAAATATATATGACTTCGAAACAAGATTTCCTTGTCCTTCGGATAGCTAAGATGTATAAGGCTTATGCCCCTTCGTGGATCACTTGGCACTTTAGAGTTCAAATTCTTGTCATGGTAGATTTTTTACTTTTTTTTGTTTAATTCAATTTATTACTTTGTTTTCATTTCTTTTATTAATATTTTGTTTTAAAATATGTATGTGTCGTCAACATTTTTTTTTTGGATACATTAAAATAAATATTGTTATTTTAATACTTCTTGTTATCAAAGCCATTTCATAGTGTTATAATACTAAAATAACTTTTAATGATTGAAACCCAATTAATGGATTTTGAAACTCCTAAGAAATTGTAAACATCCTATTTATGACAAGAAAAAGCCGGAGGCAGAAGTTTAAATTAGAGTACAATCATTAGCGCCCGTCTACTGCTATTTACTTAATGTTAAAATTTTAATCAGTAAATGAATTTGATAAACAAAATAGAAAATAGTTTTGTAAACGTTTTAAAATTGTTTGCAAATCTCTTATAAGGTGTGCTACTTTTATTAAATTTTAGACTGCCAGAAGAATAATTATGAATGAAACAATAGTAGAATAAGTAATTAAAACTATTCGGCAAGATTCTGAGACAAGATATTTTTTTAAATACCGTAGTAATTTATAAAAAAAAAAAAAATTATCACCTTTTAGCGTGAGGATTAAAATACAGCTAATTTTAGGCTGTAGATTATAAAGGAAGTTAAAAAATAGATATGAAATGCAGGAAAAGCATTATAATACTTTTAGCAATGATACTATATGGTGAGTGCCAGAAGGAGTCTTTTTAGAGTAAAAGTTAAGAAAGAGCCTTTTAGATTTTCGGGCCGAAGAAAGTCTATTGTTACGTAGGATAAACAAGCTGGTAAGGAGGTGCGTCACGAAAAGAACTCAACTCGTTGGTCAATTATTTATTAGCTTCTTGAAGGCAGAGGCGTGTGTGTGTTTCGCGCGGTGTTTTCTACTTATCGTTCGGTCTCTTGCCTAAAAGACGCTCGAGTGCCCCGATTCGTGTCTCGCAGGGCCTTATATAAGCTCGTTCCCCCTATTGGTGTCCTTTACTAGCGTAGGCTTGTCGTTACTAGGGTGAGTCAGTATGATATGC